GACGTCTGAATCAGAGTTGATTTCCTGCCGTGCTACAGTCGAACCAAATTGCAATTTAGTTCGGCACGGCAGAAGCACGACGTCTGAACTGGGCCTCACACCTGAGTTTAATTGAGCTTCGTTCGAAAAAAGAAATAATTCGGATGAACTCATTAACATACCGACCAAGGCTGAAGAAAGATGTCTGATCCAAATTTCGTTTAGTACCCAAGGTCCGAGCAACAAGACAGGCACAATCCGGAATCCGCGCCAAAATTCACAGCTGATACATGATCCACTGTGTTTTCAAAATCCGCGAATCCGCTCTATTTGCCGCAAAAATCCACAATCCGTGCGCTTTTTTAAGGTCAAATGCGTCGATCCGAAAACTTATTCACCCCCCTCTTTATAGGTGTTGCATAGGTAAAAAGTAACCCAAATCACGGTCATTAGAAATAGGCTGGGAATTGTGTAGAATTGCGAAAGTTAAAGTGCAAGCACTTGAGCGCTTTCCCCAGTAATCTTGGATAGTCACTGGATAATCTGGAAGCCTAGGGTCAGTAAAAGCCTCAAAGACACACAGGTTCCTTTAACCATTCGGGTCATACCTTTTTCAACAAAAGAAAGCGGGATCTCTAAATACGTTACTGTTATCTCTAACATTGACGCTCAGAGATAAATTAGCGATAATATCTCATCAGTCGTTCCCGTCGACCGAGTCGGGAGATTCGTCAAGGTACGCCCATGTCATGCCCTCGTTACGCCCCCGCAAGAGTCTTATTTTGTGAGGTCACATGACGAGCGATCGATCGTACCTGAATATTTACATTGGATCCAGACGGTGGCAGTATCAGATCGCTCGCTGCTTCCAAGAGCGTAAGACGTAGACGTTGTTTGGCGCGTAGACGAAGACGTAGTCTGGCTGTCTCTTCCAACAGCATTTTCTGGTGATCGATCTGTGTCGCTTTGAAATCGGACCTGGTTTGACCGTTAAACACTGTGCCGAGATCGGGCTTGAATACGCTTGCGTTTTCTTTCGGTTTTGAGCACTCTCTTGTCGCATCTTTCTTCAATCCAGGCCTTGATATGCATCGTGTTGCGGGAGCAGTGTTTTGTGTACTAACTGTATCATTGTGGAGTGGGATTTGCGCCTTCGTACCTCTTCCAGAAGAAAATATGAACGTAGTAAGTGTTGTTTATGTCATCCGTTTGCCAAGTCAATGAAGTCCAAGTTTTGGAAGTAGGCTTGAATGATATCCACTATTTTGTCAAGGGTTAGGAAGTACAATAAATAAACTGGCTGAGCCACTTGGGATAGTAAGATATAAGATTATCGGAAATAAACCCTGTCGCTGACTGTGTAGATCAGTTAAAATGACGAGGAAGTAAGCTTAAACTTTCAGCTTCAGCACGTGATAAACGTCGAAAAATCAAGCTTTAGCACAGCGCTTGATCTTGCCAACGTTCTGAAGACTTGGAGTATAAAATATCGAGTTTATCACTTTCCACTGTCAGTAATTTGGAGGGCAATGTGATTATTAAATATAATTTGTGCTTTAGTTGTTAAAAAGTTCAGTTTTCAACAACTGAAAGTGAAAAACAACTGAAACATTTTTGAAGAGCTGAGAGAGATGTCCAACATTGGTCAGGCTATTAATCTGCCACTCTTTGAAGACTAAATGGATGCATTTACTCATATTTTTTTTCAGACTGAGTTGATTTCATACAATGGCTACCCTGCTGAACAATATAATGTAATCACAGAAGATGGTTACATAATCAACATTCAGAGAATTCCTCATGGACGACAACAAAGTTACTCTGCTGGTCCTAAACCGGTTATTCTGGTTCAGCATGGGCTCCTGTCTTCCTCTTCTGACTGGGTGTCAAATTTACCAAATGAGAGCTTTGGTTTTATTCTTGCTGATAAAGGATTTGATGTGTGGCTTGGCAATGTTCGTGGAAATACCTATGGTTTACACCATGTCAATCTCTCAGTGGATTCAGATGCATTCTGGGATTTTAGGTAAAATTTCCTTTGACAGTTTGCCAGGTATAACTGGGATCTAGACAGACTTGTGCCTAGTTGTCCCTACTTTTGTCTTAAATGGGTGAGAGTCAAGGGAGACTTACATTGTAGGGAACTCCTTCAGTATGCGGAGAGAATCACCTGGCCTCACAAACATGTTTACACTTGCACTGATAAACTTTTGGGGCAACCTGTCAAATGCTGGAGGATAACCTTCTACTTATGGTCTAGCATTGCACAGAGGGCAAAATTAATTGTAAATTTATTACCTACTTTCTCTGAAGTAAATAATGTCGAAAAAATTAGAACTTCGTCAGCCCCTTATTAGTGTGCAGTTTTGGTTGGCAGTTTAGTTGGCAGTTTTGGCCCGAAGTTTGTGTAAATACCATACAAGAAACAGAAGTGTCCTATCAGAATATTACAACTTATTTTAAATTTTTGTTGTCAGTGATGCCTTTTAAAGTTAACAAATAGCGCTGCATTAGAGCAGTTTTGAATTGAGTTTCGTAAAACCAAAACCAAACCAGTCACTCGCCAACCGGGGGGAAGGGGGGGTACTCTCAGAAAAATCGGGTGGGGGTGTGCAGCCCGCTTCCCAAAACCCTTACCCTATTTATGACCAAAATCTGTGATATTCCCTACCCTATTTATGACCTGATCAAAAATTCAAAACCCTGTTTATGACCTAAACCTTAAATCAAAACCCTGTTTCAGAGCTGCGTTATAATTAGTTCCCTAGTTGAGGCCAATGTTAAATTACGGTAAACATAATTTGTGAAGGGCTTTTGTTGATTTTCTTTTTGATAATGATGAAAAAGTCACCATATCAAGGTTAAAGTGCAAAAACCATACCCTATTTATGACCAAAATGGCCAGAATCAGCTAAAATCAATGCCCTATTTATGACCAAAACAGCTGAAAAACCATACCCTACGGAACCGCACATACTGTACCTATATAGCCCATATGAGGGAGTACCCCCCCCCCCCCCCCCCCC